GGTAAGGTAAGACAACACGTTTACATGTCGTTTTCTATATGTTCTCTGACATTTATCCTAACGATATGAGGCGGTCTTTGTGGAAAAAAAGCTTGTTTAGTGGACTAACTTTGCACTTGAAGGTTGCCCGTTCACTTACGTTTTAACAGGTCTGACGCTACTATGCGCCCCGGCTGTATCTAGGCTAACGGCTAACATGCTAACTATTATTTCTATGTCACTAGTCACTTGAAACACATATAGGACGATAGGAGACAGGTTGAAATAAACTGAAATTTCCCTTTAAAGATCTATGAGTGTTCAGTTCTCTGATATGAATTACAATCACATGTGTCAGCTCTGGTAGTTTGCAGCTACGCTCCTCAGAGTGGTTGCTCCTTAATGAACCCTGGGTTTTAACACATCTGGGGAAAACTGCATTCTCCTACTGTGAGACACTTAGTAGGAGAGGACACTTATATCCATCAATCAGTTTAAGGGCATCATAAAGAATGTGGTGACAGAGACACCAGTTAGTTAGTTAGTCAGTCAGTCAGTTAGGTAGTTAGTCAGATAGTCGGTCAGTCAGTCATTCATTCAGTTAGTTTGTCAGTTAGTCTGTTAAATAGTTAGTTAGTTGGTTAGTCAGTCTGTCAGTCAGTCAGTCAGTCAGTCAGTCAGTCAGTTAGTTAGTAGCAGTTTAATTTGAACATGTAAGCAGAAAATAAACAAGATAATCATACAGTGGTAGACAGACATAAAAAACAGGTTACTAAAGGAAGCATAAAAACTGAAAACAACATATAATGATTTTATTTTCATGTCCAAAAAGGAGTGGGAGGAAGTACAAACTTTTTTATTCACACCCCTTCTCCATGACCTAATAGTAGTCAGTTATGTAGCTCCCCATCAGTATAACGCTGTACAATAATTAATTCTCCCAGACCTGTTCTAATATATTAAATTAATTACCAATAATATTTGTCTTACAGCCTTACCTATATACCTTATTCAAAAAATAATCTCATCTTTATATCCTTATCCAATCATGACAGATGTGTTTTGCTTTGTCAGAATTTATATATACAAACGATGTACATACATAGACATGGATAAATAAAGATTAAATTAATTAATTAATTAATAAAATCAGAATATACAGAAACTTTTTTTTTGTTCTTAAATATAATTGGGCCCAATTCTGTTGCTGCAGGTGTCGGTGTTGATGTTCTCAGTGTGTCCAGTAGGAGGCAGTGATGTGACGTCAATGATTCAAACTGCCGCCAAACGTCAAAGAAGAAGAACAGCGAGGTCAGATTGGTGCGTTCAGGTGTATCAGGGTTTTATCACAACCTGAGTTTAGTCCTTTTGGTTGGCTTGTTTTTCAGGACTTTTGTTTTATATTTTGTGAATCGTTTCTTTAATTTGTGAGTGAAAAATAAAAAGCAGTAGAAAGCAATGCTGCTGGCGGACTGTGAAAACCGGAGCCCGGAGAGGAGCTGACGTTAACGGAGCGTCAGTGAACTTCACTCACAGAAACTGTTTACTAACCAAAGTTCAGTGTCCTCGGAGCTGTCGGGTCTGCAACATGGATGTGAAGGAGCTGGCTGTGAACGCGTTGGTCCAGAATAAGAAGGCAGCTCTTCTGATCGGAGCTGGTGTCGCTGTTCTGGGACTTGGTCTCGGATATAAATACCTGAGGAAGTCAGAGAAAGTAGTCCGTGTAGGCGTAGTGTCGCAGCTCCTCGTTAACCCTCTCAAGTCTGGCAAAGCGGTGTCTGTGGCTCTGGCTGAGTGCCACAAACTCGGGCTGAAGTTTGGAGAGCTGCAGGATCGGTGAGATTTAACTTTAACTTTGGACACAAACATGATTCAACAACACTGCTCTTTATTGAACTGAGCTGAGAGTGCTGCATTCACTGACCAGTTTTATGGTACTTCACTATTTGTGCTACTTTGTACTTTTATACTCCACATTATTTATTAACACCTTTATTTTTTACATATAAAACATGTGATTAACTAATAAATGGTGCATTAACACAGACTGAGTGTTTCCACAGTCACACAGGTGTTTGCAGCCTTTTCCAGGGGCGTAAATACAGGCAGTGCATTTGAACTGGGGCCCGTGGAGGGGCCCAATCAGTGGCATAAGGTAGTTGCGATGGGCACCAGCGCACACTATCATGACAGGCCCTAGTGCACGCTGTTGTGCACATATCATATCGTCACATGAGACTTGACACTGGATGACATCAACACACATATCACACAACAATCATCATTACATATCTTTATGAGACAAAAACTACCAAAGAAAATCAAAAATATATTTTAATTTAACAATTTTAATAGTTGATTATAGTTTATGTAAAATAAGCATATGATTTTGTTATAGGTGTGACTGACTATTTTACAAAAAGAAAGTTCTTCTTTGAACACAGTCATATTTCCAAGTTGGCTATCGCTCATTGGGGCCCGTTCTCTACTCACTCCCCCCTGCCTCACGGGCCCCAGTTCAACCACACTGCCTGCACTGTTTATATTGACACCCCTGGGCCTGATTGCCAGCTGGAAATACGCCTGTGTTCAAAGAAGAACTTGCGTTAAATCAAAAATTGTGTGATTGTCTTTATTTGCCCGTACAAAGACAAACACATCTCCATCATGATTTTCTGTTTTCAGTCTGTAACAAATTATTTGCTTCTTCTACATAAACTACAATTTAGTTTATGTAGAATAAGCAAATTGTAGTTCTTAACAAGAACTACTGACATTGACATTGTCCAGTATCAAGTCTCTGTTTGATCAAATCTCTATTTCAATTTTATGTTCCATTGCAAAAGTCTTTGAAAAAATTATTTTTAACCAATTAAATCATTATTTGATCAGTAAAATTATTCTCTCTCAATATCAACTTGGCTTCAGATCCAACTACTCCAAATTTTAAAATTTACAAATGATGTGTTTTCGGCATCTGATCAGGGTTTTCTTACTGGATCAATTTTTGTTGATCTTACTAAAGCTTTTGATCTTGTTGACCAGTACGTGTTGTTAGACAAGCTATATGCCATTGGTTTATCTAAACATGTTCTTTTGTGGTTCAATTGCTATCTACATAGTAGAAAACAGTGTGTTTCTCACAAAGGATGTAAATCTGATTTACTTATTCAGCCTAGAGGTGTTCCTCAAGGATCAACCTTGGGTCCACGTCTTCTTTCTATTTTCATTAATGACCTTCATCTTATTTTTTCTGATTGTTCTGTACAATTATATGCAGATGATACTATTATTTACACCTCAAAGCCCTCGTTTTTACTAATTCAAGAATCCTTACAACATGACTTTGATATTTTTCAGACTTGGCTTTCTGAAAACAAATTATTACTTAACCAAACTAAAACATGTGCAATGCTCTTTGGTTCGAGACAAAAACTTAATTCTGATTCTTTGTTTCTAACTTATAATGATGGTAGAGTTCTCCAGAAAGTGGAAAAGTATAAATATTTGGGTGTTTGGATTGACTCAAGACTAACATTTAAACCACATATTAAATATGTTTTAAAGAAATTTAATTTTCGTGTAGGGGTTTTGTTTTGTTCTAGGCATTGTTTTACATTTAATGTCAGGAACAAACTCATATTGCAACTTATTCTGCCTATGATCGATTATGCTCATATTGTTTACCAGTTCTTTTTTTACTTACCATTGTATATTATATGACACGCTTGGGTGGCTTTCCTTTAGATAATAGACGGCAATATCACTGGTTTCAGTTCATTTTCAAATGCATTCACTTTAATTTCCCTCATTGTCTTAAACAATTTTTGTTCCTTATCTTTCCAATTACACTTTAAGAAGTTCAGACCAGTCTTTTTTTTTACAGTCCCCTTTGTCACTAAAGAAATTGGCAAAAAAGATTTCAAGTCATTGGCCCCTAACTTATTTAAAACCTGATTGTCAATGTTTCCATTCATAATTTAATGCACTGTCACTCCCAAATTAATTTCATGTTTGCTCCACCTGAACTGGCTCTATTAAATTGTAAACAGACAAGTGTTTTGCTTTAACATATGTGAAGTAAGATAAAGTAATGGCACCATCAGTGTTTAGACTGATTCCCTATTGGTCTCTCAAGGTTCAAGGTTCAAGGAGTCTTAATTATCCCTGTGGGGCAATTTGTTGTACAGCCAGCAGTAATAGACAACAACAAACAATCAAGCAACAATCACTCAGACAACAATAAACAACAAGAGACAACAGAAAATGAAGAGCTCTTTCACTTTGCAAGTCTGTCTGCCACTGTGTACGATCTCCTGGGAAAATGAAGGCTCCATTTACGGCATAAAGGAAGTTTGTCAACCAAAACAGAAAGTGGATAGCATTCTGTTTTTTCCTGGTAGCATCTCAAGTTACTAAAGAGTATCAGCGTAAGTTCTTTATGGAACGACCAAAGTAACTGTGGAGAACAAAATGCTGCTCAGCTCTGAGAAGAGAAAACCATCTGGTTGTTTGCACTAATAAATATACCACTTTTAAAGTTATCCATAATAATCCACTAACATAGGCTGACATAGAGCCTCAGAAGTCTCAAAAAATATTAGTTATATTTTGCTGCACAAGTTAAAACTGAATGTTTGGATTGCAGACACTGGCTGGTGGTGACAGAGGACGGTCACATGGTGACGGGCAGACAGCAGCCTCGCCTGGTGTTGGTGTCTCTGACCTGTGACGGAGGTCATGTTTGTCTGAAAGGCCCAAACATGGAGGAGCTGCGGTTCCCCTTCAAACAGCCCGACAGCTCCGTCATCGACTGCAGGTTTCACATCAAGGTTTAATTTTTAATCCGCTCGGACTGAATCCAGAACTGTTTACTTGTTTATTTTTTTTACCTTTTAGCGTTTTGTTGTTTTGAGAGTGTAAAGGGACAGGAAAGGTTTTATCTGCAGGTTGATTAAAAATTTAACTAAAGGTGTTAGTGTGTGTTTTAACAATATGTTCATGACCTAAAGCTCAATAATAATCATAATTATAATGAAAAAGACACAGACAGTTAAAGTCTGCAACTTACAATTTTCATTATTGATTAATCTATAGATTGTTTACTTGGTTAATTGACTAGTTGCTTTGTCTAAAACACAAATAACAGTTAACTTTTATAATTTCCTGTAGTACAAAGTGATGGCTTATTTTGTCCAACACGAAAATGTTCAGTTTACAGTCGTATAAAAGAATAAAAGCAGAAAAAAAGAAGGCCATAATAGATACTTTATATGTTACTGTTAACACTTGTTTCAAATCATTATTTAAATCATTTAATTTTAGAGCAGGTTTACACTGTAGGATTGTCTTTCACATTATCTGTTTGCTCCCACTCTGTTTTCAGACTTGTATGAACACGTCTTGTTGTTTTTGTGCTGCAGAGTGTTTGGAAATGACATCCAGGGGCGGGACTGTGGTGACGAAGCATCTCGTTGGCTCACTCGTTATCTGGGGGAAGAGGACACCTTTCGCTTGGTGCACTTTGAGCCCCAGATGAGGGCGAGGAACCCTGTGGAGAGCGAGCCCATGTGCCCACAGTTTGAGGTCAGCAGGACGACGACGTGCTGGAGTCTGTTACTTTTATTGTTCCCAGATTTTAAGGGTCTTATTGAACGCCTCCACTGGAAGGTTCTGTTTAAGTGTAGAAAATCCTTGATATTAGTAATGGCGGGTTCAGACTACAATATATCAACCCGATTATAGCCCAACAAAGCATCTTATGGTGTCGGCTCGGATCGTGAAAGACGTTTCGTACATGATAATCCATCGTTTTATTGTGTAGTGTGTCATAGTAGACGACAACTGACACCACGTCTGGGACGCCTCACGATGTTTGATTTTCTTTTTGTCTTCCACGACTTCTCCCGTCACATCCGTACCCATGTTTTTACAGACATGGATGGAAACTGTAAATGCAGTTTGACAAGTTTGCAGAGGTGTACAACCACAAAGCAGTAATTCTGGTTCACCTTCATGTCAGCGTTACCATAAAGTATTTCTGTACTTGTGATTGTCTCAGCTGTGTTAACTCTTGTATCCTGCAGGTGGCGTATCCAGATGTGGCACCTGTGATGCTGCTGTCCGAGTCCTCTGTCAAGGATCTCAGCAGCAAGTTGGAGAAGGAAGTCACGGTGGAGCGTTTCCGCCCAAACATCGTCATCAGTGACTGTGAAGCATTTGATGAGGTTTGTGTTTATTTCTATTCCTTAAACAAAGAAAATCATATCAAGGCAGTCGTGTAAACATCAGATTACAACCACAAAAAATAAAATAAGAGATCCTCTGTGTCTCTACACTACAGCCCATCAGGTTTTGTTTTCCCTCGTGCGTGGAACAATCATCGTTACTTCTGACTAATCCCTCGCCCTTTTCACTGTGAGCAGCGTGGACTAATTTTATCTCCGACTCTAAAAACCAACTGTTTCATTTGTTTTTTTCAGGATTCGTGGGAAGAGGTCCAGATTGGCAGCGTGAGACTGCAGCGTGTTATGTCATGTGGACGGTAACACAGTTGATGCTTCACACAGATTTTAATCAGAGACAGAATCACTTCATTTATCAACAGCAGTAAATCAAACACTGCTGCAATTTGAGTTTGATTCCCTGGATATGAATACAGTAATTGTTAACTGAAGTGTCTGTATGATGTAAAAATATAACTGTAGAGATTTAGGGTTAAGAGGGTGAATGAAACTTACCTGTACCTTTGTTGTTTCCAGGTGTGTTTTCACCACCGTTGACCCTGAAACTGGTATCATCACCAGGAAAGAGCCTCTGGAGACACTGAAGAGGTACATCTACACTCTGCATCATTTACTGAGTGTCACACATCAGAAGCATCACACTTCAGCCTAAAAAAGAACAGTTATTATACCATGCACAAAAATAAAATTGGGCAGAAAAACCCACTGCAATTCAAACGTAGGTTTTGAGAGACTTTTTAATATCAGTAAAATCTGGCAACCCTACGTGGTATTTTTATGCCTCCGCCCAGCGACAGCCATGACCAAAGGCATTATGTTTTCAGGTTGTCTGTCTGTCTGTAGGTATGTTATGTACATAAGTCCCATTAATGTAAATGTTATATCACAAGAAAAACCTTGAGGGTAATTCTTTTAATTTGGCACAAACATCCATTTGGACTCAACGATGAACTGATAAGATTTTGATGGTCAGTCACTGTGACCTCATCTGTCTCATTTTCATGAACGCGATATCTCAAGAAGGCCGTGAGGGAATTTCCTCAAATTTGGCACAAACGTTAACTTGGACTCAACAATGAACTGTTTACATTTTGGTGGTCAAAGGTTAAGGTCACTGTGACCTCATGTCTCATTCTTTGAACGTGGTATCTCAAGAACACCTTGAGGGTAATTCTTTAAATTTGGCACGAACATCCACTTGGACTCAATGATGAATTGATCAGATTTTTGTGGTCAAAGGTCAAGATCATTGTGACGTTGTGTCTGTCTCATTTCGTGAAGATATGAGATATCCCAAGAACAACTTGAGGGAATCTTTACAAAAAATGACACAAACGTTTACTTGGAGTCAAGGATGAACTGATTAGATTTTGATGGTCACAGGTCAAAGGTTAAGGTCACTGTGACCTCATCCATCTCATTCTTGTGAACGTGATATCTTAAGAACACCTGTCTTCACATTTCTTCAAATTTGGCACAAAGATCCACTTGAACTAAACAATGAACTGATCAGATTTTGATGGTCAAAGGTCAAGATCGTTGTGACGTTGTGTCAAATGTCAAGGTCACTATAACTCTGTCTCTGTCTTATTCTTGTGAACGTAATATCTCAAGAATGCCTTGAGGGAATTCTTTAAATTTGGACAAACGTTCCCTTGGACTCAACAATTTATAGTTTGATTTCGGTGGGCAAAGGTCAGTGTGACCTTGCATCGGTCTCATTTTCTTGAACACAATATCTCAAGGACACCTTGAGGGGATTTCTGTAAATTTGACACAATCGTCCAAGAATGAACTGATTCGAATTTGGTGGTTGAAGGTCAAGGTCACTGTGACCTCACAAAACATATTTTTTTAGCCATAACTCAACAATTCATATGCTGATATGAGTCTGGACAGACATGGATATGAACTGTAACTGCAACTTGACTGGTTTATGAAGGCATAAAACCCCAAGGCAATAATTCTATTTTTTTACAGATTGATATGTAGCTTAATTGAGTTTTGCGTTTGGTTGGGTGTGTGTCTGTGAGTGTGTGTATCTGTCTGTCAGCAGCTAATCTAGCAAACTACTGGACCAATCAACTTATTGTTTTGTGTCAAGGATCTCTTGTGGTTGTGGTAATTTACAGCTGTTGAGAAAAATTTTTAGTGACTGTTTTTTAACCGTCACTGACTGCTGACTCCTCACGCCTCTGACCTGGGCCGCAAGTTTTCCAGAAATCTTCTTGGCTAAAAACAAAAAGCCTTATCGTGTGTTGCAGGAAACATTTTGGCCTCTGTCGTGGCTCAGAAACTGACATCCATAGAAAAATTTGGTCTCATTTTGAACTGGAGCATCTGCAGATTAATTCCATACCTGATATGTTATGATCCATCATAGTTAGACACGATACGAGATGAATTAGTCCCTGTGTTTGTGATTTTGACCGCCATCTTGACTGTAAGGGAGCCAGGAGGGACAATTCCATCAGGCCCTGCTGCATCACATTCCGGCTATGATGTGGTTTTGTTTCGTCCTTATGGCATCATACTACACCAGGACCACAGAGCATTTTGCCTTCCTAATTTTGTAGCCTTACAGATTTATTTGGTTCCTGAAAGTGCACTTTTCTAGTTTTTGATGTGTCGAGACAGGTAACTGTATTTTTGTTGTTAATTCTGGAGAGTTTTTCTAATTCACCTCTAGAAGCAAACATGTTTTAGCTTCTTTGAAAAAGTACATTTAAATGTGGTTTCTGTCTTCTCAATGAGTCAATCAGTCAAATGGAGCCAAGTGGGCACTTTCACTTAAGTCAAGTCTAATTTTGAGAACTGAAAGATATTTGAATCAATCTTTAGTGGCCTTCTAAATTCCTCCTAACTCTTTCTGATGAAAATTCCTTCACAGCTATCGCCAGTGCAAACCGTCTGAGAAGCACATCTACAAATCGTCCCCGCTGTTTGGACAGCTGCACATCGTGAAGGAGACGGGCATCCTGCAGGTCGGAGATGTGGTGTACAAGATCAGCCACTGATGGAGGGAATCAGAGAAGGAAAAACATGCAGACAAACATCTCTTTACTGTGTTTGAAGGGGAAAGAAATCCTTGTTATCAGCATTATCACTGTGAAATCATTTTACACATTAACACTAAAACAAAGCACTGAAATACTTTTTTAAATCACAAAAAGCACAATTTTTTTTATTTTATTTAGCCTTTATTTATCCAGGAAATGTCCCATTGAGATACAAGATCTCTTCTTCCAGGGAGTCCTGGCCAAGACAGCACACATAAGTTCCATACATAAAACATTAGGACAACACAAAAAAAAACACAAAATCACTCTTTCTGAAGTAGAGCTGCGATTCACACACAGATGAAGAGATAACATGCAATATAACAGTTTTTATAGCAATATATTTTTTATATTAATTGTCTATGACAGTTGTAACACTAATGGTGCTAATTTAACACATTTCTAAAAACTGCACATTAATTTCACTGATAATCAAACTCTGAAGTACATGCTGCTATTAAAGAGAGAAATTAAACCGCATAAAGTCTTTTTAATTTAACACTTCACATGTGTTTTTATTATTACTGCGATAAACAGGGCGAAGAATCGGTATGAGATTTTCACGGTACGTTAACCGTCTCAGAAAATATCACGGTTTCACGTTATCCTTTGTCACTGATCCTGTTTGTGAACCTGCTCTGGAGCAGGTCAGCTGTTCAGCATCAGTTGCCACGGTGATTTATCTCAGTAAAAAGTAAACCAGCTTTGTAATACTGAAAACCCAGAGTTATCCCTGAAGTTAACTCGCTAACTCCAAATCCTGCTTCATGGTACAGATCTCTGGTCCGTGCATGGAACTGTTTGGAAAGTACTGAGCACACGACTGGACAAATGAGACTTGGATTATTCTGCACAAATTTTGTGAGAGTTTGAAAACTGTTGTTTTGATATAGTTGTGCTGTTGTTAAATGTGGACCCCTTTTTAATCAGAATCATAAAAAAAAATTTCTCAGATTTTGAATTCTTTGTTTACTGTTGAGGAATGCAAGCAAAACAAAGTCAAGTTAACTTTATATATATAGCACATTGCATAAACTCAGTGAGATACATCATACATGACAAACATAAAATATCATTGAGATAAAGTATTACATATTTAAAAACAAGCAGGACATGATAAAAATTAAAAAAAGAAGGTAACACTATCATTATTCTTAAAAAAAGAGGAGATGATAATAATACTAATTCCTAAAACAAATAAAAATAAACTTACTAAACTAAAAGGCTTCAGAAAAAGATAAGTTTTTAGTTTGCTATTCAAGAGAAGACTGTAGTTCATGTGGAAGAGAATTCCAGGGAGTAGGACCATAATGACTAAAAGCACCATGAGCTGACTGAGAGTTGATTTTAGGTACAATGACTTTTATTTGATGATCCACGGGATCTTTCTGGTGTGTACTCAGTGACCTGTACGCTGTCAGTTAATGGACAATCTGTGCTTCACATTTAGACCAGTAAGTGAGTAACACATGTTTCCTGGTTAGATTATTGTCTGTTAAACCCAAAATGTCACAACACTCTCATGAGTGTAAACAGTTTGAGCAGTGAAGGTCCCAGTAAGATCAGTTTTAGTTCCACATGATGACCAGTAGGGAGCAATATGCCTTTACTAAACCACCACACGAGCCTGTAGAGAGGAGGAAGATATATCTGCATGTTTTTATATAAATTAACCTCTGTGTTACTCATGTGAAAGATGTCAGCTTTTAGTTTCTGTAGATTTGTGCAAAGCAGCAGTGACAGCTGCTTGAATTGATTATTGGAAGAGAGATTCACCTACAGAAACTTTACTGTCAGAAATACCAAGAAAAATAATGTATTACTGCTCATGGCCTTTAAATGACTTTACACAGTACAAAAACATGATTCTGCCTCTGCTTAAAAACAAACATCCTGTGAATTATGAACAAGATTATTCATTGGTTTATCTATTTTTTTCATTCGTAGTTTTCATTCTGTTTGAATTTGTCTCATAAAACAAAGATCATGTTTTTAAGGGCCAGTTTGGACCATCATCCCCTCTGTAGTTACCGTTTCTTTTTCCTTTTAAATCAGTAGAGATCCAGACACTTTGGTTTCTGCGTCAGTCCCAGATCATCATTTCTACACTCGAGAGTTAAGTTTTGGAGTGGTGCTACATTTCTCACAGAGCTGACGAAGGTCTTCAGTCGTGTCGACATTAGAACAAGAGCAGTCTGGTTTCATCTTACAGTGGATCTGTTCTTATCAGAGAGGGTTAAACACGTATATCTGCTCTGTACAAGTGATGGAATAATGTAAGTGTTAAGGTTACTCAGGTTTCTCCTCTGATACTGTCAGTGGTCATGTTGCAGTGTTTTTATTGTAGAACAGTAAAAGTCTGCAGTCATCACAGCAGCTCTGAGAGGCTGTTCTTAGTGTCGGCAAAGTAAGCTCCTTTTCACTAATGTGATGAAAAATAGATCTTGTCAGTCTTTATAATCAGAAACTTTATTAAAACAAGGACTTATATCTCAAAATAAAGATGTAGTATCTCAAAAATAATAATTTAGTATTGCCAAAACATGACAATCTCAAAATGATGATGTAGTTTCTTAAAATAATGACTCAGTATTATAAAAGTAGGGCTTAGTTTCTCAAAATACTTATGTAGTATCACAAAATTCTTACTTAGTATCACAAATAAATGAGAACAACTCTCAAAAGAAAGACTTAGTATAGCAAATACATGACATAGTATCTCAAAATGATGGTGTAGCAAGTCATCGTGAATCTGCTGATCAAATGTTTACAGCGTCCTACACCTTGGAAATACTTGTTCGAGTTGTCAACAAAAGCCTTAATGTCTATATTAAAAAAGGTTTTAAATCAAGAGAAGGAAATTATAATTTAAGAGAGATGTTTATTTATGAAACATGTAAAGTAAGAAGATGAAAAATGTTTCAGTTTTGGGAATCAAACTACAGAGTGGACTCATTGCTGATGTGTTTCTCTGTTGAGCTTTAAAAAAGTCTTAAAATGCAAAATGATTCAAATGTAAAGGAACTGATTATAATTAGAGTATAATTTATTTAATTGCTAATTTATTTACTTTCTTTGGTTTTGTTGATATTCTGGGTTATTCTCTGGTTGACATATAGAGGCAACAATAATCCTGGAGCCTTCAGCCTGTTCATTTTTCAGTTACTGACAGCAGAATGTGTGTGAAATAATCTTTGTTTCCACAGATGTATGGAACAAAAATAACAAAAATAAAAATTATTCACTCATTCGTTTATTAGTTTCTTAAAATATTGACTCAGTGTCTCAAAATAATAATTTAATATTTCAAATCAATGCCTAAGTATCTCAAAATAATGATGTAGCATCTTAAATAATGACCAAATATCTCAAAATAATGAGAACTTTCAAAACACTGACATATCAAAATGACAGTATCTCAAAATATGGACTTAAATCACATCTTAATGAGAACCTTTCTCAAAATGAGTTATAATTGTTTATTTTACAGATATTAAGTCATTAATTTAGAGGAAGGTTCTCCTTAGTCTGAGGTATTAAGTCATATATTGCTATACCAAGTCATTATTTCAACAAATTTTCTCAGTATAATGTCTCACAGATTTCTTTCCCATCACACTGGTGTGAATGGGTTTCCACATTAGCCACAGTGGTGGTCTGAGCTAAATGCTAACAGCAGCATGCTAACACACAGAGGTTTAGCAGGTGTAATATTAACCCTGCTCACCATGTTAGTTCAGTGTGTTAACATGTTGACATTTACCTAAATGGCATGAAGCACACAGTGCAGCTGAGGCTGATAGGAATGTTGTTAGTTTTATGATATTGGAAAAATTAGAAATTTGACCCGATGAGCACTAAATGTCTTCAGAATGTCCTGTCGGCCTGTTCAGTAGATGTTGAGATATTACACTAGATAAGTTTGACTGAGTCTGGTCAGACCGACAGACATTCCTGCTGCTGTGGCTGATCGTAAAATCTGTTTCACCACAGAGAAAGAATTAAATCAACAAAGTTATTTCCTCTGGTGTGATGAAGGCTTCCTCTCACACCACAATGACACAGTATGTAGTCCACAGAACACGCGAATGTCGCCTGCTAAACACCACACACTAGTAGTATTGTAGGATGTAGTGATTTCATACATTTGAGTGCAGAGAAGATATTAAGAATATCCAAAAAGCGTTCAAGGTGTACATGAATGAGAGAAATATTTTAACCCAATTTGACTGAAGACGCTTCAAAATGATGTCATGGACACAGGCAGGTGGATGCTCTGGTTGGTGTATGTCTTTTCCATCAGTGTTTGACAGCTCATTACACGTCAGCCTTACTGTGAGGAATCCAACAAACATGACAAAATACTTACAGTAAACCTGGAAACATCCTCTTTAAACTAAACCTTGTTAGTTGAAAATGACCACATGAAAGGGTCGCCCCCTCCAGCTAACAGCCCCAGGTAATGACAAACAGAGCTGACAGCCAGGACCTGTTGTGTCTCTGACTTTAGAGGAAAAGAGGTTTTTATTTGGTCAACAAATGTGTTGAAACATGAAGTCAAAGGTCTCTGCAGCCGAACTGTGTTTTCCAAACGTTTTAACACAAATGAGTGGTTATGTAGGTCTGTAATTTGTCTGGGTCCTGGTCTTAAAGAGCTCTACACCATATAGAGGACTTACATTAAATCTAAGTGCAACCCTTTATATTTTCAGACCTTCAAATCTGCGGCCGCCGTCACTTGAAATAACTCTTATTATGCTTCTGTTTCTAATCAGTCATTTACATTTCCTACTGTGTGCACAGAGGTGGCTGGGATGTTTAAGTGGTGGGGTGTTGGATGTGAAGTGTGTGTGTATGTGTGTGTGTGTGTGCGATATAGTTGCATTTTTTCTCTCTGTCGTGTGTGTTTCCCTCCGTCCACAACTAATTTCACAAACTACCGGACCAATCAGCCTATTAATCTGTGTGCACATTTATATCTGTATGCTGAAGGACCTCTTGTGGTTGTGGTGATTCATGACTGTTGAAAACCTGTTTTACTGACAGTCTTATACCGTCATTGACTGCTGACTCCTCACTCCTCTTAATCAGGGCGGCACTGAGGGCTGGATTCAAAATCACATAGAAAATCAAAGTAAATATCTGAAATCACAGCTGATCCAACTTGAATTTTATCACATCAACTCATAATGTGACTAAAAAGTATGTATGGCCAGTCAACGGCATCAATGCCTTCATCATCCAGGAACTGCCAACACACTCTGGACCCATGAGGCCGGGAGTTGTCCTGCACCAGGAGGAACCCAGGGGCCTCTGTACCAGGAGGAACCCAGGGCCCACTGCACCAGGAGGAACCCAGGGCCCTCAACACCAGGAGGAACCCAGGGCCCACTGCACCAGGAGGAACCCAGGGCCCTCTGCACCAGCATAAGGTCTGATAATCGCTCTGAGGATTTCATCCTGGTACCTAACAGCAGTCATGGTGCTGTTGGCTATGACATGGAGGTCTGTGTGACCCTCCAAGGATCTGCCTCCCCAGACCATCACTGACCCATCGCCATACTGGTCATGCTGGATGATGTCACAGGCAGCATAACGTTCACCACGGCGTCTCCAGACTCTTTCAGGCCTGTCACATGTGCTCAGTGTGAACCTGCTCTCATCTGTGAAGAGAACAGTGCGCTGATGGTGGACCTGCCAGTTCTGGTGTTCTCTGGTGAATGATGGAGCTGCACGGAGCTGGGCTGTGAGCACAGGTCCCACTAGAGGATGTGGGGCCCTCATGCCACCCTCATGGAGTCTGTTTCTGACAGTGTGGTCAGAAACATGCACACCAGTAGCCTGCTGGAGGTCATGTTGTAGGGCTCTGGCAGTGCTCCTCCTGTTCCTCCTCACACAAAGGAGCAGATAGCGGTCCTGCTGCTGTGTTGATGCCCTTCTACGGCCCTGTCCAGCTCTCCTGGTGTAACGGCCGGTCTCCTGGTATCTGGTATCAACCTGATTGGGCTGCAGGTACCGCCTCATGCTACCAGTAGTGCCAAGGACACTAGCAGAAGACCAAACTAGAGAAGAATCAGTCAGGAAGGATAAGGAGAGAGCAACTGTCTGTGGACACCACATGTAAAACCATTCCCTTTTTGGGGGTTGTCTTGCTTTTGCCTCTCCATTGCACCTGTTGTCACTTTGATTTACACCAAAGCAGCTGAAACTGATTCACAATCACTTGTGCTTCCTGAATGGACACATTGATATCCCTGAAGTTTAACCGACTTCCTGTTAGACTGTGACCGTTAAACGTCACGCTGTAGTTTAAAATATGTCATGGTACAGTAAGACGTTGTTAATGTCATGTTAGTTGTAGGAAAGTGTCGGTCTGCCCTCATGTAACCTTTCTTTCTCCAGATTCAAAACAGCAGAGTCACAAAATGTAATTTCAGCCTCGTTCCAGTGATTATAAAATACATAATGTGGGTCTGAAGACAGACTGGCAGCAGGGAAAATGTTAAATGGTGAGATTCATGTAACCTCGCTGCACGTAGTCAGGACGGCTTTACATTTACAGCGGTCATTATCTAACCACAGTGGTTTCAGTTATGATCAGTGGTGTGGAGTTTAATTACAGAGAGCTGCTGACACACACTTACAGACAGTTTCTAATGTTTATTTTTAACACTTGCATGTGTTGTAAAATTAGACAATTTTAACAACACTGGGCTTCGGTAAAGTTAGAAGTTTCTGTTTTGTGTTTGTTTCCACTTCAGACTAATTTGATATGTTTTAAATGCAGACAGGGAGGTGATGGAGTTGGATCGATTTTACAACAGTCAGAAAATAAAGTTTAAAGGACACAGTGTCGTTACATGCATAATTGCATGCAGCAGTTGTGCTTTGTACTTTAGTTCAACATTTTAGGAAATACGCTATTTGTGTCGGTGCAAGGGGTTAGATGAGGAGATCAACAGCAAATATAAAGCTACGACCATCACTCTGTTAGCTTAGCTTAGCACGACAACTTAAAAAGGAGGAAACAACCAGCCCAGCCTTGAAGTAAAGGAATATTTGTGTATCAGTGAATCACCCTGTGTTATGTTGATACATAAAGAAAACTTGGTTTTTCTTGCATGCCTCTGAGGTGACCGAAGAATCCAAAAACTGAGAAAATTCTTAATGACTAATAATGACTAATAACTGTCACTACATGAGCTAGCCTAGCATGAGCGGCAGGTTTGGACTGGCTGTTCCCCGGTCAGGCTCAGGTGATGAGGGAGGTAGCAATAAAAATTACACCAGGGAAAAAGGAAAAAGACAAGTGGAGATGGCTGTATGAACAACAGCTGTGGATTTATTTTACAAAAAAACAAGAATAAGACAGTGAACATAAATGTTTTAAAAACTACTTTCTTTAGAAGGACAGAAAGTGATAAACAAATAACAATTAGCGACTAAATGACTAAAATTAACAACTGAACAAAAAGCTCGTCACCATTCGCCTCTTCAGGTAGTCAGCCACCACGTCCTTAGTGGATAATAAGACCACAGGTGGGTCCAACCACCCTCTGATCATTGAGGGGGTGGGGGTATGGATGAGTAATGAGTTGAGCTGATCTCTCACGAGAGAACTTGTCAGCCATCAGGCAGTTCTGGTTCTTGCCTAATGAGCCGGCCGCCTTGGGGGCCGCAAGGGCGCTATCTGCAATGTTGGAAAAAGAGAAACGTGCCGGCTGCGGGCCACTTAATGTTGGAACAGTCCATCTGATTAAAGGTTACATGGTCCTCAAATTGTCTATAGCCTACCTACCTATACAGTAAGGCAGGTGCAGCAGTACCAGTCAACAGCCGTTGTCACCTCCCCCAAACTGTCACGTGGATCGGTCCATCATGTAATGTTTAGAAGATGTCAAGTGATGTAAATAAATAAATGAAATTCAGGAAGAAAGAGCAGAGCAATTGGGAGAGAAATAGGCTACAAGTTAAGATGGACAACAGAGCCAAAAAACAAAAAGGGCTGCAGTGGACTGGTTTGTTCCCAGTGTGACCCTGACTAGTGGCATCACCCGTTGGAAAGTTATCATGTCCTTCATCCTCAGCATCTGGCAGTAACCTCCTCTTCTTGTCCCTGGCCTGTAACGTTACTTCATTAGTACCAGCCTGCAGCTGCTCATCTGTCCACGTTAGTCTTTCCTCCTCTTCATTTGGTGCCGCCGGCAGACTGTTACTGTTATCACTGCTGGTAATGTTAGAGACACTTTTTTCTTTTGTCTTGGACCTTTTTGCTTTTTACCTCCTTTATCCATCTGGTTTGTATTTTCATTCCACTAACTCTGCTCTTTCTGTCTTGATTTCACTTACTAACATTACATGAAGGACTGATCCACTTGAGGGGTTGGGGAGAGGTGACGACGCCCATTGGCCGGTACTGCTGCACCTGCACAACCTACAGTATAGGCAGGCTACTGGCAATTTTGAGGCCGTGTAGCCCCTATTCAGATGGGCTATTCCAACATCAAGTGGGCCACAGCAAGCAGATCCTAATTGCTTTTTTTTGCAGGTGGTGGCCTTGCTGCCCCCAAGGTGGGCCAGCCCCTATGGCTGGTCTGAGCCTGGGTATAATCTTGCTGTGTGTCTCAAATCACATACTTGTGTGAGTACACTTCCATGTAGTATACTATGTGCACTATGTACTACATGGAAGTGTAGTATATTATGTACATGTAGTATATTATGTGCACTATGAACTTATTGGCGTAGAGAGCGAACTTCAACAGGGTAGCGTTGTCTCAAACCAAACACGGCCGTTGTGCACTCACCGGAAATGACGACCGCAAATTTCGACCTCTTCTTCTGTTAATGCCTAATTGTAACTGGCCAGTGGAGCATTACTGCCACCATTTGCCCGTGAATTTTCACCCAACAAAATATCCATCAATTGTACTGTATTGTTGCTGTTAGCTGGTTAGCAAACTAGCATTAGCATTCGCGTTATCGTTTGCGGTACAAATAAACCCAATAAACATACTGCTGGCTTATAACCGACAACAGTATAGTCGTGCTTAGTGCAAAAAAACACATGTATAACTTAGATTTGTATAATGCAGCGACGTTCACGGTCGCACAGTCCTCGGCCGCCATTTCCAGTTTGAAATGTGGTCCCTCCCCTTCCGCTACATAGCCAAGATGGCGACCATTGAGGGCAAGAAGTGTCCATAGTTCCACACTCAACTTCTTGACCGTTTTTAGTGCACCATCCGGGTACTCATAGTGCACTGCATTTTTCCATACTTCTCAGTGTGAACGCACTTATGCACTCAAAATATTAAGTGTAAGTACAGAAGTAGGCGATTTGAGACACAGCAAGAAACTGTTGCTAAACCAAGACAGCCCACTTTAGATTCATTTCCTGTGTCACATGGGTTTCGCCACTGCCCTGCCTCTTTAAGAGGGTAGCAGTGGCCCTGAGTGTCTTTATTCCAATGGGAAAAGTAAACCTGAGTACAGATTATAACCGTTCCCTTCACCCCATCATCACTGTAGTTAAGACTCGACCCATTTTTCACAAGCCCCAAACCTTCGTAACATTCGGAAGCTGAAATGGCATTTTTTAGGCAAATCAGGAGAAAATCAAATTTGTTTGAGGCTTGTCTCTATTTTAGCAACACACTCTCAAGAGATCTGGCAACAAATGATGTGATCTCACACTTAGTTAGTATCAGATGTTAAGTTATCAGATAAAAACAAGCGGCTAAGGAAGTAACAAACATTAAATTCATACTTTTTATAGTGATGTGGAGGGATGCGGGCAAGAGATGACCACGCCCGTCTCATTTATCCAGTCTTATATTCAGTACATATCAATTCATCAAGATTGTTCTGTTTTTTGATTCTTCATCGACTGTGGAGGCATGTGAGGAAGATTTCTTCATGAATTTGATATAGTACAGGGTCAATATTGATACAGACAAATGATCTTTTGGTGGGTGAAGTATTCCTTTAAATAAACTAGATTATAATGTGTTATTCAGCGAGCTATAAAGGTGCTGGTAGGTGTTTTTGTTCCTTTAGGACAGTCATGTTAGCTGTCTTTGTGCTAAGCTAAGCTAACCTGCTGCTTCATGAAAGAATCTTGTCACCTAACTCAAAAAAGCAAATAAGCACATTTCCCCAAATGTCTTACAGTTCCTTTAAAACATGACCTTCAACACTGACTGTTTCACAAACAAAATATAAAAAAAATGATTCAGTCAAACAAAAAGATATATTTTAAAGTGCTCTGGTATTTTTCGTTTGCTTCCTTTTGACCTGAAGTTTGTTTTGCATTGTTCTGTTTGTCTTCACGTTCATGTTTGTCTTCGTTTTGTTCATGAAGTTGAGATTTTGTTTTGCAGATTCTTTAAAGTTCGTGCTGTTTTTCTGGTGTCCGATCGGCTTCAGTGCAGCTTTCCTCTTGTCGACTGTGTTGTCTTTCAGGCTGTTGCTTTTAAGAGCGTTACTTTTTAAATCAGCTGATTCAGTTTGTTTGATCTTTGGTTTCACTTTGTCTCTGACAGGCTTCGTCACGGTGGTCTTTTTGGATTGTTCCTTTGGTTTCTGTTTCAAAGAATTCTTCTTCGTTTGTGCATTAGTTGGCTGCTTCTTCAGCACTTTCTTTTTCTTCCATGGTTTCAACTTATTTGTCTTCTTCGCTTTCTTATCAGGTGATTTCCATTTCGGCTTCACAGCAGCTCTCGTTGACGTTGCCATCGTCGTTGTCGTCTCGCTGGCTGCAGTCGTTGTAGGTTTGTCGTGGCTTCTCGTCAGCGTCGGTTTGGTGGTGAGTTTGAATTTTCTTGGTGGTGGTCTTGTCGGCTTTTCATTTGTGTCCAGCACAGTCACTGAAATGGCACAGATGTCAGTAAGTACCCATTTTCACAGTTTTACTAAACTCAGCAGCCACATGTCACATTTTATAAGCCTGAATATTTGGCTCCAAAACAGGCCTGAATGTTTGAAATGCTTTCCTCTTTTGTCCCTTTTTATTTTAAGTATGTTTGATGTAAAACGGGAGATGGCATTTTCCAGTTTTATATATGACCTCAATGCGATTATAGCAGCATATAGACATGAAAAAAAAGCAGGTTCTGCTGAGGACAAGAAAACTAAAGAGTAAACACTGAATGTAGGCGATTTGAACAAACGTCTTCTTACACTAACCTCTAACATCATTGTAGTTGACTTAAAAATACATTGTGTATATTTAGTGCACCTTGATCAAACCAAAACTGTTTTCTGTCATTTCAAAAATGAAAAACACCGTATTTCAGTTTTAGGTACAACTTCAGAGGCTCCTGTCAGACAGTTTTAATTTCAAATCTTCAGCTGGTCTGGTATGCATAAAATTGAGACATCAAGTTATGAGAAGAAGAAGTTGTAAAATGCAAAGGTAAGCGGAGGTGACTTACGTTCTCTTGGCACAAAGGGGAGCTTTTTCCCCCTAATTTTGACAGGCAGCGGCTTCTGCTTACATTTCCCCGGAGGTGCTCTCCTGCAAAAGTTTTTGAGAGTTCAAATTGGGTAATGTTTTGTTAATAAATGGGACAAATCATGGTATGCAATAATGCAGATTTTCCAAAAGATAAAGAATTAGTCAATAATTAAATTTTCTTTACATCAAATTATTAAAGTTATTGAGTCTCATGTTGTAGAGCATTTTTGACTTGACATGACTTAAAAATCCTTAACTGTATCTTTGTAGGGGTAAAATAACATAGTTGCATCATGAAGTGGGAAGTGTGCAAATATTAAGACTGCCCATATAAAAGTAAAAAACCTAACAAGAAAGTGCAAATCCAAAACATACGCTGCCAAAAATCTAATTGACAGTATGGATCATAAAATACAAACAGGTTAACGACAGGGATCAGTCCAGGCCTGGTTGCATAGATGTGTACATGTACCAGAGGTCAAGTCACATGACTTGGACTCGAGTCAGACTCAATCGCTGCATGCACCATGCGTGTTAAAAATTACAGACGGAGGCGCAACATCTTCCAACTTTGTTCATGTAAAGTTGCACAAAGAGCAGTAAGGCGAGGTTAAGGCTAGCTAACGCTTAGCTAACGTTAGCTTAATGTTAGAGCTTAAAGAACCTTGTTTAACAAATTTTTTAAAAAGCATTCAGGATTTTTGTAAATTTATATATTTATTATTTTCAGTTTTTAGAATGGCATTACACTTGGCACAGGAAACACAGCTGTGTCTTGGTAAAAACAACCATTTTTCATGCTACTGTCTCCGTTGGAAACGCAGCTGTGTCTTGGTAAAAATAATCGCTTTTCATTCAACTATCCTGCAAGGAAACGCAGTGATGTCTTTGTAAAAGAAAACCAATTTTCATGGCACTATCACCGCTGGAAACGCAGCTGTGTCGTGATAAAAAAAAGACAAAAAAAAAACAACAACAAAAAAAAAACTTTTCATGACACTATCCCGATAAAACAGCCGCTCTTCGTGTGACTTTCCCAGCAGGAAACGTCTCAGTAAAAACCAACTGCTTTTTATGCCACCATCTCCGCTGAAATCCCAGCTGTGTCTCCATAAAACACAACGCCATTTTCCATGCAATGTTCCTAGCAGAAAATGCATTGACGTCTTGGTGTAAAACAACCACTTTTTGTGTGACTTTCCTGGCAGGAAACCCAGTGATTTCTCTGTAAAATAACTGCTTTTTTTGTGCGACACTCAAAACCCAGTGATGTCTTGGTAAAACAACAACTGCTTTTTGTGCCACTATACCTGCTGAAAAACAGCTATGGGTCGCTAAAAAACAATTTTGTTGCTTGTTGATTTCAAACACAGGTCTGCGGCTGAGCAGATGTCGCACCTAGATGACACCCCGTCCACCATCCACTTCACCTCCCAATGACAAAGTCAGCCCCAATACTTTAGATGTATGTATGAAATGTGCTAATCTAACAAATTCGTGGTTTGCAGAAACGATCAATGCAAAAATTGTCTTCTGGTGACTGGGCTGTTAATGCGATGTACAAATTGTCAGACAGGAAAACTGACAAACACCATGTGTAACAGATAAAATGATTATTTCCCTATTTGTCAACATGTTTTTTATGGTCAATTTAATAACGTGTAAATGTAGCATCATGGTAGAAATCTCTGACTTTAAATAAAAACATGTCCCATGGTTTAACGTGTGTCTGATACGTCACCTGGAGGGGTCCATGAATTTGAAAACAGTTCCAAAAGGAGACGTCGCACTGGGGTACGCAGTCGCCAAAAAATATAGTTCTCCTTAAACCAAAAACAAACAAAAAACAAGCTCATGAGTACGATTACTTTAATGCATAACTTAACTTTAATGCTGTGAGAACGAATGTTACCTGCTTCATCCTCAGCAAATGAGATGATGAACTTGTGGTGATGGTTGATGAGTCCAGGAAATGAGCAAGTCTTTGTTTCCCCCATGCACACGCTCCTCTCCCTCCAGCTTCCTGTTGTCCTTTCTTCCTCTAACGCCATGATACGTCTGCAAAATTAAACAGGAATCACTTGTATTGTTAGAACCAACCAACCATTTTTTATGCTAAATACAAAGCTTCGGCCAGCAACATCATCATATCGATGTCTGTGTAATACTGTGATCACATCAGGCGCAAATAAAACAATTCACACAAGTGAATTACATGTCAAATCAGTGTAAATTATGTGAATTCCTGCCGGGCAGCACGATGGACACAATGGACGCCAAATATGCAAAAACATGGTGCAAATGAAAGGAGTAGCATGATATTGCGCCTATTGCGAGAGTTAAAAAATGTCAACTTTAGCAACCAATTCACACCACAATAGCCAATCAGCACTGAGATCCTCCAGAGACGTATGATGCTGAGGATATACCGGCATGAGTTCATTCATTGATTCAGCAACTTCACCCATGTATTCGTGCATTTGACGCCAGCCAACACAAAATATTCTAGTGTTTAAATTCGTGCAAGAATGGCAAAATGAAAACTTACATTGCATTTGGTGTGAACAAACATAAAAGGGACAACCAACAGGACGGAACCATGGACAGGACGGGTGTGAAGTTTTGACATGTTATACATGTGACCCACTGCCAGGAGATTGAATTCGAATTTTTGTGTCTCATTACTCTTGCGAGATTGAACAATGGTCCATTTGTGTTTATTCATGTGTTCATGTCATCCCATAAGACACTCCAGTAAGAAGAAGGAGCTTATATGCCAGATATAAAAAATGCCTGAGGGTGCAGCGGTTGTGCTAACTTGGGCTAATGCTAGAGCTAACTTGGTTCAAAGTAAAGTACAACCAAAAGCTGAACTCAAGCATTAAACACATATTTTCAGAACTTACAGGGTAGTCCAACCTCCGCGCTGACATTTCTCCAGTAAGTGGCTTCTTTTCAGTTTCTGTCTGAGGTAGAATCGTAAAGCTCCAGGTGCCCACTGACCACTACAATAATCTTGTCCTCCATCTTTGATTTAACAATGTTGTTGGAGCACTTAGAAGAATCTCAACACTGATTTTACGACACAGCGTCATCCAAAGTTCATGCTCAATTTGAAAAATTTCAAGTCATGCAATTGACACAATGATGCGAATACCACGTCTTCACACCAGTCACAATGCATAATTTGCGTTGTGTCACCCGACACAAATTTGCATCTATTCACGTCTTGCACTGACTTTGTGTAAAAAGGTTTCTTATTTCTTGGCCAACAAACAGTCCCGCTGATAACACCACACGTAAAACAATGCATTGTTGTTTTTACACTTTGGTTTTTGTACAGATTAAACATACAAAATAAAAATCACTAACTTTGGTTTTAGTGTTTTTTACTGAGTATCACCAGTTGCTTGGCCTGTTTTCAGTCTTTATAATCAGCTAAGCAGTTAGCAGGTGACTCTAACGTCGTATATTGAGCAGTAACGATATTCTCATCTAACTCGATCATTTTCCGAAAATGATTAAGTCAGGACAAACAAAATGTTTATGGTGTGGTTAAATATCAGGGGGTCGATATAAATACTGGAACCCAAGTCGATTAAATTTTAATTTAAGCCAAAGTAATGTGACTTGAATTTGTTAAAAAAGGCATGGGGTTTTTTATGAAGTCAGATTTGCACAACAGCTGAACAAACAAGCTGTTCGTTCCTTCACTCCTAAAGATCTTTTTTTTCTCTCACAACAGTTGGAGTAAACTATTTGGCTGAGATCAACACAATCTTACCCACTCATGAAGTCTCCAAAAATGTACAGGCCGTTCAGATTGGGTGATTCACATCCTCTGTACACATATCCCCCCGTCACAGACTTCCCAACATGATGGCTGTATGCAAATATAGGGAGGATGTCATCTGTCGTGGCAGAGAGAGATGTACTGAATTTAACTAAACTCTGAGGAATCAAAATTAGATTGAAAGCAGCGAAATAACAGGTGGCGAAAGTATCAGACGAGACAGAAAATAACTCTTGATTTTTATCAAGTTTCACATGAGCAGAAATACTCACTCAGGGAGGAGTTGTGGCACAGTTTCATATCAAAGCACTCAAAACCCTCCTTGGCTCTCCATCCATAGTTTCCTCCCTTCACAATAATGTCAATTTCCTCATAGCGGTTTTGACCCACGTCTCCACAGAACATCCGGCCCCTGCCGTAGCGGCTGACCGGGTCTCCGCGGTCCACAGAGCATCGCCACATGTTTCTGACCCCGTATGCGTACACCTCTGGTCGGGCTTCTGGGTCACGGAGGAATGGGTTATCGGTGGGGATTCTGTACTGCTTCCCACTGGAGTCACTTCCATCTACATCGATGCGGAGTACTTTCCCCAACAGAGCACTCCTGGGTGGGAAAAAATAAGATTTAGCATCAGTTCAGAGGCCTTGTTGTGCAGTGGTTCTCAATCTGGGGTACGTGGAAAGATTGTAGAGCAGCTTAACTAATGAGAAAACATTTAATGAAAAAAAAATCTGCATATTTTATCAGCTGAAACTCCACCAAACACTGTTGCAGTCCAAACAACTAAAATGAGGCCTAAATGGAAAGTGGTTGAAATAGATGAAGTCATCCCTATGTTCCTAGGGTCCTATGTCTCTTTTTACAAACCAACACAGTAAGTGACTGGCACAAGCTGTCTTCACAGTTCAAATAGCAAAAAAACAACAGGCAAATGGATGTTTCAATTGTAGTTTCAAAGGCAAAAATCTGTTCATCCACTGTCAAGTCAAGAAAACTGTCTTGCCTGCGAATTTGAGGGAACAGGTTTCGAGGAGTTTAACATCAGCAGGCTATAAGCTGTAGTTGCCTGATTTCAACATAATGACCCAGGGAAACATGCAGTGAACATTTGACTTTGAAAAATATTGCTGAGAACATAAAACCCTTTGATAGGTCTCCTTAATGAGTCTTATGAAGAGGATATTAAGTTGGGGAACATACGACCCTGAGAACATAGATAGGCTTCCACCAAAATAGTTCAGTTTTAGCCAATTTTAAAAACTGCTTAAAGTAGTGGATAAACAGTGAAAAAGTTTCCTAACAAATATCATTGAAATTATTTGTTTGGATTAGCAGTTTACATGGTTAGCTAAATGGATAAACAGTTAAAAAAGTTAGCTAGGTGATAAATTAATATGAAATTGTTTGCTAAATGTAATCAGCTGAAATTGTTAGCTTAGAGAAAAACAGTTGGAAAAAATAAAAGTAATGGATAAATGGTTAAAAAGTTTGCCAATGAATATCATTGAAATCATTAATTAGGAGCAATGGATAAGTTGACATGGTTAGCTAAATGCATAAGCGGTTGAAAAAGTTAGCTAAGTAATGAAGTGGTGAATGAAACAGTTCACTAATGGGCAACAGCTGAAATTGTTAGCTTAGAGTAAAACAGTGGAAACAAGTAAAAAATAATGGATAGATGGTTGAAAAAGTTTCTTGACAAATATGGTTTAAATTTTTAACAAATATTTGGGGAAAAAGCTGAAATTGTTACTTAAAGCAATGGAAAACTGTTGAAATCATTAGCTTATTAAGGCAACAAGTAAACAGTCAACATGGTTAGCTAAATGAATAGACGGTTGAAAAAGTTTGCTAATAAATACTACTGAAATTGTTAGCTAGAAGTAAGGGGAAACAGTTGAAAGTGTTCACTTATCAGAGCAACTAATTAACTGTCAACATGGTTAGCTAAATGGATAAATGACTGAAAAACTTAGCTAAGTAATGAAGTTGTGTTTGAAACAGTCAAAAAAGTAAAAGTAATGGATAAATGGCTGAAAAAGTTTGCTAATAAATACTACTAAAATTGTTAGCCTGTTAAAACAACAAAAATACAGTCTCTTAAAGTAATGGGAAACTGCTAAAATTGTTCATTTGTTTGTGAAATTGTATAATGGATAAACAGTTGAAATCGTTAGCTTAATGGATTAACGTTTGAGAGTAATTATAATTAATGGATTAAATAGTTTGCTAAAAGTATAAATGGGCAACAGCTGAAAGCGGAAGCTTAAAGTAATGGGTAAATGGTTGAAATAGTTAAAAGTAATGGATAAATGTTTCAAAAACACTAGAAGTAATGGATGTGGTTGTGTCAAGCTTCTGTCACTTCAAGAATTAGGAGAATGCAAACTAGAACGACTAAACTGACGTAAATACTGTTAGTTCAATTGCATGAAAAAATATTGTAACAAAATAGACTTTCAGAATGATTAATAGTTAAATGACATTTGGTTTTAAATCAAAGTGAATAAACACATGTGGAAGATGACAGGTGGTGCTGAAGGGGTGCATTCATCTGATAGAGCTGTTAGGCTGCTTCAAACAATAAACGTTTGGGAACCACTGTCACTGTCTTCCCACCTGAAGAAACCTGAAGCACCTTACTTGTTTTGTGCGTTGCCGTACTTCCCAAATGGATCTCCAGCTTTTCCACCATCACCAGTAAAGATGTACAAATATCCATCGAGACCAAACAGCAGCTGACCTCCGTTGTGGTTTGCAGCCGGCTCCTCGATCTCCAGAATGACCCTGAATGTTAAAAGGAAGCAAGTTCAGTACAGTCACATCTAAGAGGTGATATGTGTTGTTTCCAGAGATAAATATCTGGTTGCCTTGATTCTTAAACCTCAATTCTATGCCTCAAGGTCATGATTCATCCTGGCTTTACTTCTCCAACACCAATTCTTGGCATGAGACACTAATTCTGCTGTAGTAATTATTTGTCAGAAAGACGTGATAGCAGAGCAGGCCTCAGGCGTCAAGAGTTGGTTCACCCACATCATAGAAAAACATGAGGGTTTGCTCCATTTGAGATTTCTGTAAACACACCAAATCAGAGCAGTTGAATTTTTGTAGGAATGATTCTGATCGTTATTTTAAAGCCAATATCGGCTGATACCCATGATGTGCTGATATTATCGTGCATCCCTAAAGTTTTGGTCTTAAAGGCTACTTCTTGGCCTGGAAAAGTTCGTCCTACTTCCTGGAGTCTTTTCATATTTTCTGACACATAACCAGAACTTTCCATTTTTACACTTCTAGGATCAAACAACATAATTATAACACATATTAAATCTTTAGAGGCACGTGTCGGCAGATTTTATTACTTTTGGAGAGAGGCAGCGGCTAACTGTTTCCCCTTACATCCAGTCTCTGCGCTAAGCTAGGCTAGCCGACCATCGCACGTTTAACACACAGGTATGAGAGTGATTTGATCTTCTCATCTAACTCTTGTATTCTTACTCTAAAATCCAATCATGTTTTCTTCCTGTATCTAGAATTTATTTTAGGAGAGTGGTGTCAGTGACAGATCTGGATATGTGAAAGAGTACGATAGACTGTGATGGTCTTTGTAACTTTGTTTTGAAAAGTGCTAATTAAATAACAATGTTATTAGTGGTATTTTTTAGGGATGAGTGAGTACACTATTATCTTAATCTGTGTCTGTATCTGCTCAACCAACCAAATTACCTGTATTCGTACTCAGAATTTATTTATGCCAGAAATGTAAGTATTCACAGAGCAGCCTCAGAATTGAGCTTCAGATCATTTTTATCACAAGAGTAATAGATAAAAGCTACCAAAATGTCCTTTATCACGAGTTCAGATAATGACACATTTTACTCATATAGTACTCGTATATTCGAGTATTTGGCCCAACCCTAGTATTTTTATCTCCCTCCCAGATGGATACTACTATCCTGCTGGCGTTACACCGCTGGGGCGTCATTGTTATGACACGTCCACTTTCCAAAGACACAACTTCTGTTTCACTGGGACTTAAAGTATTTAGAAATGTTCCCTAACAATACAGGACTTGGACAGACAGAAACGTGTTGATCAAGCTTTTGTGTCCATAGAGCCAAAGTTTTGGAACGCTCTAGTCTGCCTGCTCCCTTACAGTCTGCTGATTCTGTGACTTCTTTTAAAAGCCAGCTAAAGATGCACCTGTTGAGACAGGTGTTTGGGTAAGAGAGGCAGGACAACATGCAGCAGTCGGCCGCAGGTCGGAATCAAAGTGGGGCCGCTGCCTGTATGGAGAACAAACTCTACCAGGTGAGGTGTTGCCCTGTCACAATAATATCTTATAGCATCTTGTGTACTTTTTAAATGTGCCCTCCACTTTTTTTATTGGGTGATTTTCTAGTTTTGCGTATTGTAAAGATGAGTGACACCTTTATTTGCATGTAGCTCAAGACATGTTTAGGCCTATATGTTGAGTACCAGCCCAGAGGGTGTATGACAGTATAGTTATATATGTCTCTCAAAGGGTAATTGCAGTATGTGCAGACCTATACATTATCAGCCAAACTTTGATGCAGTAAACAGACGGAAACATCCCCCCTGCGTACCTCTCTGAGTACAGATCAGCCAAGTTCATATCGTGGGCGGACACCTTCATCTCACTGACTCTGATTTTCTCCAGCATGCTGTTGACCTGGATCGAGTAGTAGATGAAGAAGCGTCCGTTGTCCCGGTACTGTGGGTGGAAGGCCATACCCAGAAAGCCCCTCTCATCCCCCAGCCAGGGTGTGGTCATCACCTCCCCGCTCATGTCCAGGAAGGGTTGCTCCAGCCGGCTGCCGTCATGCAGGTAAACCCACACGAAGCCCACCTGCTCGGCGATGAACATGCGATGTGTGCCATCGCCACTGTGAAGCATCAACACGGGGTTCCTGAGGTTGTTGGCCACCTCTGTCAGGCACACCTGGAGACACCCTCTGGGGTCCTCCGACACCTGTCCCAGGTTACTGTTTAGGTCGGAGCTCTTCAGAACGTTGGGGTAGCAGTAGTCCTGGTCAGACAGGTCGACCACGCTGCAGAACGTGGCCACATCTCGCTCAGAGGTGTCCCGCAGCAGCTGGTTCTCTGTTAAATATTTAACCACGTGGCGACATTTGCCATGAAACTTGGAACAGTAGCCAAAGCAAAGGCCAGGTAGCTCTCTGACAGGTGTGTACGGGTCCTCAGCATCATAGAGGTGGGCAGCATATGGAGAGCACTCCTGGATGGATAAAACATGAGACACTACAGTGTGTAGATTATCACAGAGACATTTCAGGGCACTGTTAGGACAGGAGGGGAAAATTAAAGGGACATGTCCCTTCAGACTTGTTTCCACCAAGCAGTTCAGTTCAGTTCAGTCCAGTCAATTTATCCTCGTAGAATGGTTTGTATGATATCCTGCGAATTATTGCCCCAAAAATGACATTACGTCCTTAATGTAAAGTTACGTAATTAACGCAAAGTTACGGAGGTTAGGTTTAGGAAAAGAGACATAGTGAGGACATAACTTAAAATTAATGAAAGTTCACATGGTTCTGAACACGCGACTCCAGGAGAACGTCCCAGAAGAAAGTCTGGAATTTTGTGACCCATCCACCAACCCCAACTGTCTCTATACAGGACAGCTCAGGACTGTTTCCATTTGTACTCCCATCAGCTCATTGGTCATGTGCTCACAGCCTTTCAAAATATGAGGGATACATACAAATTTGGATGCACTACTTCTTCATAAGAAAACCTAGGAACACACTATGAGAACAGCCTGGTTCAGTTTGTTACACGTGAGACCCGTTGTTTTCACATTTCCATTGTCAAAAATTCTGGATGGTACCGACAGAACTGTTCCATTGTCCCATTTTTCGGCATCTGTTGAGATACTCAGTACATTGATCTGATACTAAAAGGTGGAGCTACGAACACTGCAGTCCGGTGATTGGACACGAGAGAACCGTCACTCTTGCTTAACATGGACTCAGTGCACAAACCTGCTATTTTAAAATATTCCATCGATTGTGACAGAAACTCCGTTTGATCATGGACTTTCCACGTCCACATGTGACGTCCAAGGTACCCTGGGTGTGTTGGTTGTTGACGTTCTGGGACGCCGTGTCAACTTCAGCCTGTTACATGCATTGTCTGTTTTCAAAATACACTTCTGTTTTCACAGGAAATGTATAGTTTGCATACAGTCTCTTTCAAAATAAAAGCACTACATCAGTACAACACCACCAACTGATGTTTTTTTTTTCCTTCAACAACAAATACATGTGGTTGGGTTTAGGAAAAAAGAACAGGGTTTGGCTTTACAATCTTACAGGAAGTGAACACCGGCCTCCTACATGGGTTGGTGGTTGTTGGACCCATCCACCACCTCTCCAACCCGCCCTACTCAAACTTTCGCCGCCTTAACTTTCATTCTTGTCCTGCTGTGTTTCTTACCGATGCTGTCGGGCACCATCAAACCATAATGGCAAGCAGTCATGTATCATTCGGACATTAAAGGCTGGCTTTTTTGTTGATGTCTGATGCCGCAAGTCACTGACCGAGTGCTGGATTATGACGACTCTGGAGTTAGACTGGGTTGTCCGTGGACAATCAACAAGATGCAGATGTTTCTCTGCATCGCCAGTAAAAAGGAAATACAGCGAGATCTGGATAGAGCGTACACTTAAACTAATACTGTTTTTTTTAGGTGCAACTTTTATTGATGTCTAAAATAATCATAAGTGCTATATCGTAGGCACTTATGATTACCATGACCTGGATAACTGAGAATCGACATGTCTAAAATAAGTTTTGTTGCTGACCCCGTCCACAGCAGTACATTGCACCAGCCTGCTTCTTCAAACTGAGGGGCTGACTTCTACTGTAGCCTATCCCTTTAAGAGCACTGTGTATGGTGGAAAAGCAAAACAAAACTAAGGATTAGGTAGTTCTGTATAGGTTATGTACCATTTCTAAAGGAACCATACCAGTGTTTGGTGGAAACATGTGTAACAAAGACATACAGTCAGGTCCATAATTATTTGGACAATGATACAGTTGTCGTCATTTTGGCTCTGTACACCACCACAATGGGTTTTAAATGAAACAATGAATACATGCTTAAAGTGCAGACTCTCAGCTTTCATTTAAGGCTTTTTTCAAAAATGTAGTATGAACCGTGTAGGAATTACAACCATTTCTTCACACAGTCCCTCGACTTTAAGGGCTCATAAGTATTTGGACAAACTAACATAATCATCAATTAAACAGTCAGTTTTAATACTTGGTTGCAAATCCTTTACAGTCAATGACTGCCTGAAGTGTTGGACACATAGGCATCATCAGATGCTGGGTTTCTTCCCTGGTGATGCTCTGCCAGCCCTTTACTGCAGCCGTCTGCACTTCCTGCTTGTGTTTTGGGTGTTTTGCCCGTTTTGCCCTCAGTTTTGGCTTCAGCAAGAGAAACGCATGCTCAATTGGATTCAGGTCAGATGATATGACTTGGCCATTGCAGAACATTCCACTTCTTTGCCTTAAAAATGTCTTTGGTTGCTTTTGCAATATGATTCAGGTCAATGTCCATCTGCACTGTGAAGCATCGTCCAATGAGTTTTGAAGCATTTGGTTGAATCTGAGCAGATAATGGTGCCCCAAACACTTCAGCTTTCATCCTGCTGCTCTTGTCAGCAGTCACATCATCAATAAATACAAGAGAACCAGTTCCACTGGCAGCCATACATGGCCATGACATAACAGTACCTCCACCATGCTTCACTGATGAGGTGGTGTGCTTTGGATCATGAGCAGTTCCTTCCCTTCTTCCTTCTCTTGTCTTCCCATCATTCTGGTAGTTGATCTTTGTTTTATCTGTCCATAGTATGCTGTTCCACAACTGTACAGGCTTTTTAGATGGTTTTTGACAAACTCTAATCTGGCCTTCCATTTTTAAGGCTAACCAATGGTTTGCATCTTGTGATGAACCCTCTGTATTTATTCTAGTGAAGTCTTGTCTTGCTTACAAGAGCAGCAGGATGAAAGCTGAAGTGTTTGGGGCACCATTATCTGCTCAGATTCAATTAAATGCTTCAAAACTCATTGGACGATGCTTCACAGTGCAGTTGGACATTGACCTGAAGCATATTGCAAAAGCAACCAAAGACATTTTTAAGGCAAAGAAGTGGAATGTTCTGCAATGGCCAAGTCATATCATCTGACCTGAATCCAACTGAGCATGCGTTTCTCTTGCTGAAGCCAAAACTGAGGGCAAAACACCCAAAACACAAGCAGGAAGTGCAGACGGCTGCAGTAAAGGGCTGGCAGAGCATCACCAGGGAAGAAACCCAGCATCTGATGATGCCTATGTGTCCAACACTTCAGGCAGTCATTGACTGTAAAGGATTTGCAACCAAGTATTAAAACTGACTGTTTAATTGATGATTATGTTAGTTTGTCCAAATACTTATGAGCCCTTAAAGTCGGGGGACTGTGTGAAGAAATGGTTGTCATTCCTACACGGTTCATACTACATTTTTGAAAAAAGCCTTAAATGAAAGCTGAGAGTCTGCACTTTAAGCACGTATTCATTGTTTCATTTAAAACCCATTGTGGTGGTGTACAGAGCCAAAATGACGACAACTGTATCATTGTCCAAATAATTATGGACCTGACTGTATACAAAGACATAAGTTGGGTGATGCCTAAACTTTGATCTCTTTATAAATAGATCTGGCATAACTTAAATGATGGCTTTAATGAGATGAAACTGAAAATAATTCAAACGTTAATAGAGTTAAAAACTTTTATCATCACACTGAGGAGTTTTTTTATTCTGTGAAATAACCAGAACATTTAAAACCCACAGAACCCTAAAAATCACACAAGACAATAAAACATATTTACCTGACACATGATTTCCTTCAACATGTCTGCACAGAGCTCATGACCCGCCGTTTCCAGCTGGTCAATAATGTCCCAGTATCTCTCCGCTATCATGTTGTCTGTCTTCTGGTCGCAGCAGCCAAACTCTTCGTACTGCGTACAAAACTCCAGGTGCCATGAAGGTTTGAAAGGTGGCGCGAAGTCCAGACACTGAGGATGAGCTGATGCTGGCTGGACCGGGACGAGCAACATCACTGATAGGATCAGGATAAACTCAGGAAGGCTCGGGGTCGTTTTGGATGAGCTCGGACGTGCCACCGTGCGTAAAAGCGCGCAGCGGGCTCCGCTTGGATGGAGCACGGCATCCCACATACCTGTCATTTTTGCCATCTGCCCCCGAAAGAGTTCAGCTGTTTGCTCTCCTTTATGTGTGAGTCAGAGAGGAAGTGTGCGCGCGTGCATGTGGATGCGTGTGTTACGCGTGCGCGAAAGGATGTGGCTGAACGTGCGCCCCAGCAGCCAGTCACTGCCTCATTTGCCCTCCGCGTGTCTCGCCACCTGCTCAACCCAGGTGAAATCTCACCTTGTTGCCAGCTCTGCCTCCCATTAACTACACACACGTGTTTAATGGTTCGTTAAGTTTATTAGGATTCTTTTTATTTTGCTCTCCGCCGCGCGCGCTGTGGTTTTCTGCACCGCAGAGAAGTTGGCGGAGGAATACGCACAATTACCTCGGGAGGGCGCACGCTCCCAAGCACTCACACACACACATACATAAACCAGGGCACAGTGTCGAGGCTTGCAAACAACATTCAGACTACCACAACACAAACTGTAATTTTGTCTCACATTCACGTGAAAGCGCCTCCGGGCCGCGTGCTATTTGTGCAACAACCTGGCAGCAGCTGCTTCATCTTACAGCTCCATACTGTCACGGCATGTCAACACTGATTTGACTGTATAGTCAGTGTGTCTGTCATCATTATTCTTCAAGTGCCGAGGAAAAACATGAGAGTCAAACAAACGGCTTCATCAGCCTGCTTACTCAGGCAGGTTTTTATAATCCAGACCACCAACAGACTCAGTTCATAAGAAATTATGACTAGACGTGTTTATATAAGGGAGTAATCTCAGTTTATCAGAGGAGGGGAGCGGCTGGGCTTTGATTTTGTTTTTTGTTTTTTATATTGACCCCCCAGAAGCTCCAGATATTTTTCCTTGACCCTCCCTGAGTGACTGGAGGAGATCCATGACCCTGCCTCCACCATAAATGACTTATTAGATTTTTAAAACATAACCTTTGATGTTTGAAAGATAAAAGTTGAGGATGAAATCCTGGAGTTGAAAAAGCTTCTGTTTTTCAGTCTTGTTGCGTAAACGGTTTATTTTTGGACAAATTTCAAATGAGACGTAGAATTGTATTTGTATATGTAACTCCTAGTGAATGGCCTTTAAAGATAGAAAAACAGAGCACTTCAGACAGAGGGTGATTACAGCTATATTCAGGGAGACAATATGAGTAAAAAAAATCTTTTCTAACCCTTTGAAACCTTTGAAATCGGCTTGATTTCTTTTACAAACATGAGGACAAGGGAATGAGCAATGAAAGAAAAAATGACCCAAAATATCAGCAAGAAATAAGTAAAAAGAGAAAATTAAAAAAAGAACAAGTAAAAAAAAAAGAAAGGACGTTAAAACAAACAAGGAAATGACTTGGAAAGAGTACTTAAAATTATAATAATTCTGTAACATAACTTTAAAATGTAATTATAAATATAATCTTTTTTTCAATCATTTTTAAAATCTCTCTTTTTGCCAATTTGTGGAACGTTTCTTACCGAGCTGGTCACTGCCTTTTTGCCATGTTTTTGACAGAAAGAAAGAAAGAAAGAAAGAAAGAAAGAAAGAAATTTGCTTAAAGTTCAAAGGTTTGAATATTTGAGAAAGGTGTCTGAAAGCAGCACAAAAAGTGATGTAGGGTGAATTCGCCTAATGTGGGACACTTAAGCTTAAGCAGGGATAGGTCTTCCCCTAGCAAAAGAAAGTTAATGTAACTGTGGGCTCACACAAGCTGTGATATCACATGATCAAAATTACATGACATCTGAAATGTCCAATCATTTGTTGGGGCGGGGCAGCCCTCAAACAGGAAGCACTCTGTGTGAAGACCACCAAGAGGTTAGTGACATAGTGTTCAGACAAAGTTGATATTAAGGGCATACATTTCTTTAAAAAACAACAATATTTCTAATTGTTTATCAGAATGTGTTTGTAACATGTTTATGCATCACAAAATATCCTAATGTGGTGAAAATATTCTCAGTATTCAGAATTTCAATCAAAATTCCTACTGTCCAACTTTAGGAAACACGTCTCCCTAAAGTGGGACAGGATGGTTTGCCTAATGTGGGACAGCTCCAAATGTGCTTCTGTTAGGCAAAACTGTGTGTAGTTGAATATACTGAGCAATAGCAATGGTTGTTTACATGATTTTATTGTTATAATGCATTATTTGGGATAATTTAAATAAAGAGCAAACATTTTTCAATAACTGGGAGTTGCAGTATCATTGTATCAAATGCTAAAATGGTTTAGGAGTTTTTTGTTTCTAACTTTAGACTTTTTTAATAATGTTCATGATAAATGTTTAAATTCAGAAGTTAGCACAGGATATCACATTACTGATTAATTAAATGGAATGTATTTCAGGTCACAATGGCAAAGGTGAGTAAGGCAGGGAGATGAAACGAGGGAAAGAAAGAAAGAAAGAAAGAAAGAAGGGAAAGAAAGCTCAACCACTGGAGGGAAGACAGGATGAGGGGAGCCATAGCAGAGTTCAGAGAGATTGCTGGGGCTGGTGGAGTCCCACAACTGAGGTTGCAGGGCCTGGAATGTCCCAAAATCCATGCTACAACTCAGGGTTAAAGGTGTGTAGGCGTGTAGACTACTATGGAATAAAACATGGAGCACTGTTACAACCCTATTTATTTTATTTGCTGTTGTTTGATTTGCCATTAACAGCAATAAAATTAAAGGTTATTTTAGTAAACAGACACGTTTGAAAATTAGCATTTATGTGAATTAAGGTGACTTTTAAACAGACCTTTCAGTGTCCCACATTAGGGAAATGACTGTCCCACATTAGGAAATGCTGACTGCCAGAGACAACTTGGCAATCAGAATTTTGATATGTATAGCATTTCTTTTAGGAATGTAATATCAGTATTTTTTCTTTTGATTTTATTAGATCACAACCTGGGGATTTCAAAATGGTACTGGATTTATATTGAAAGTGTTTGCTTCATATCGCAATATAGACCAGAAGTCTGAATTGCAAAAAATGTCCCACATTAGGTGAATTCACCCTAACTCCAGGTTTCAAAGGGTTAAAGCGTGTGAACATGTTCTCCTAGAAAAATACAAGAAAATACAAGTATGAACCTGAACATGAGCAGAATATGGACCTTTAATGAGTGTGAATGTTGCCATACTTCCTCTGTGCATTTACAATAAAAACAGAAGATGTCATCAGGTACTACATAAAATAACATCGTGTTTTTCCAGCAGATGGCAGCAACCAACCTACTAATGCGCCACAGAGTAGACAAGGAAGCGGAAATACGTCATTTCTTTTTTATTTTGCATTTGTTTTGGTGAGAAGGAAACCGTCAAGAAACTGAGAATAAAGACAGGAAACTTCCGTCGGGACGCTTCAGCTTAAAATATGTATTGATGAAAATTGATTTTCTGATACGTAATTTAGTTCTAAAAGCGGCAACAAATAAATAATAATGTAATTGAAAACGAATAAGCAAAAATGTATTGTGTTTAGTTGTCATTTAAGACTCACATGTAAAAACAAAAATAATTAATACGTTTATTTTGAAGGCTACATCGGTTCTCTTCCGGTAGCATTTAAGCTAACCGTGTTTGTGTTGACGCGCGCGGACGAGGAGCTGCCAAGTCTGACAAAATATAATTTGTGTAACGTCACCTGTGCAGCTAAAACCCACCGCCATGGCGTCATAAACGGCTGAAGGGAGGCACGGTTCATGCTCGGTAGGTGACCGGAGTCAGGCAGCCTTTCGCCGCAGAGCCGAGACGCCGCGGCCCGACACACAGACGGCTGTGTGGCCGCTGGAGAAGCGACAATGAGCTCGGAGCACCAGAGCGACAGCGAGGACGCAGACGAGTCGCAGGACAGGCCCAACAGCGGCAGCGCCTCCGACAAAGAGGAGGACCCCGACATCGACGACTCGGACGTGGAGGATGACATCGCTCCAAGGGTTTCTCCGTCACCGCCGGGGAGCGGCGGGAGCAGGCCGGAGCGCAGCGCGAGGTCGGAGGAGCGAGAGCCCTGCTGCGAACCGGTCGCCGCGCCGCAGACAGGGAGCGGCGAGGGCTCCAGCGCCGACAGCCGCAGGGGGAACAGCCTGTTTTCATGGCTGCAGAGCAGGACTATAAGACGGGGAGTGTTTGTGGACCCAGCCCGGGAGAACTTCAGGACAATGACCAGTCTGTACTGCTCCATGAACCCGGCTGCAGAGTCTGTCAACCTGAGCACTCAGACCCACGGAGCGGTGTTCAACCTGGAGTACTCCCCGGACGGGTAAGACAGCACCTCTGTGTCAGGTCTTTCACCCAGAGGTCATGTTCACAGGGTTCACACTGTTCTGGAGGGTATTTAAAATGTGAAACAGTGCTCTGAAGGGTAAACTGCCTGGAAAGTGCTTGAATTGCATCATCAGATCCATCCCCATTCATCTGTCTGGAGTCCTAAGGGACTGTTCTTTACTATCAGAGGAGGAGGGTGGCAGGAGTGACACTTTATTTGTTCTACCCTCCCCGAGGCTACAGATATTTTTCCTTGACCCTCCCTGTGTGACTGGAGGAAAATCCATAACCCCTCGAGTTATTAGATTTTTAAAACTCCCCTACTGATGTTTGAAAGGTAAAAGTTGTAGATGAAATCCTGGAGTTGAAAAAGCCTCAGTTTTTCACTTAGTTAGGGACTGTTTGTTATTTATAAGAGAGAAGGGGGTGGCAAAACAGGAGAGGCATGTCATATAATATTTTAAGCACTGGGAAGGGACTTGTGTTTTCTATTTTGTATTAAGGGAGGGGCATACAACGGTAAATGGTTGTATTTTGTATTTATTTTATTTTTGAAAAAATACGTGGTTTTTAAAAAGCAGTAATATGACACCAATTATCAGCTGGAAACTGTAGAAACAGAAATTATTGTTGTATTTTCAAATTTGTGACGGTCCTGAGACACAACATATGGAGCGAATGCTTCTGTCAGGAAAAAAACAAACAAATGTGAGCTTAAGATATTTAAGCTTAATTTTACTTAAAATTTGGCCTAAAATAAAGGTTTGCACGACAAGAGTGGAAAAACTGAGGCTTTTTTCAGCTCCAGGATTTCATCCTCAACTTTTACCTTTCAAACACCAAAGGGTAATTTTTAAAAATCTAATAACTCATTTATGGTGGAGGGAGGGTCATGGATTTTCCTCCAGTCATTCAGGGAGGGTCAAGGGAAAATATTTGGAGCAAAAAATTGAAGTCACACCCAAGCCACCCGTCCTCTGATAAATAACAGCCCATTGGTGCAAACAGTTTATTTTTTTAATTGATGGAAGTGTTCCTCGCACATGATGTGTCCAAGGACCGTCAGAAATTTGAAAATCCAACATTAATTTCTAATTTACAGTTTCAAACTGTGATAAATGGTGTAATTTTAGGGATTTTTAAAGAAAGCATTGCGGCATGTTTTCTTTAGAAATAGAGCCACTATGAAGTCCCCTCTTTATTACTGTTTTGCATTTTTACACAGAACCAAGCAACAGTGGCATCATGTTGTTTCAGTGTGTAACTTTAGACAACATGATGGCATCGCGGAATCAAGAGGTGTGACGGGCGTGACCTGTAATACAACAGCGCCGGCCTCAAGTGTGACATATAAAATATGCATCAGCAGCTCTTTATAAACAATAACAATGACATCACACGTCAATAACAATCATTTACCATCACTGTTAATTTGCGGTTGATCTCGTCCTCTGCTCTGAGGGTAAGAAGTTCCTGAACGTCACTGTTTTCTCCATTTGCTGACGTGATGTGTCCAAGGACCGTTGGAAATGTGAAAATCAAACTATAATTTCTGTTTTTACATTTTATGGCTGTTATACATGGAGTCATTTTGGTGATTTTAAAAGAAAAATGTCTTAAAATTTGGCGGTAAAATACATACAGAATATAGCCATTAAAATTTGTGTGCCCTTCCCCTAAGCCAAAATAAAAAAGTCCCTCCCCAGTGCTTAGAAAATTATTTCACATGCCTCCCCTTTTTGCACCACCCCTTCACTGCATAAGTAAAGAACAGTCCCTTATATCCAGGGATCACTTCATGCAGGGAAGCCAGTTATTGGTGTTAATGTTGTAAGGATTTAATTAGAAACTGTCATGACAGCTTGAAGCTCTTGAATTTCCGGAAACAAAACCTGTGCATGTGTAAACTGACAGTGAGCACATGCAATGACTCCACGCAGGCTTTAAGCCTCTGAGTGAGCAGACAGCAGATGTAGGATGTTAATCCTGCAGTGAAACCAGGTCAAGCTGTGTCCAGTCTGGGTCGACTTTGTTTGTGGGCTCATTGTTACAGCAGCACTTGACGCACACTCACCCTGCACAATGAAGTGTTGTTGTAGAAAACATCTCAGGCTCTACATCATGGGGCCTGTCATGTTATTGATTTATCAAAATTAATGAATGTGTCATTGACATGAATGGGAGCCGCATGAACATTTTAACAAGGTTACGTTCCCAAACAAAAGAGGACTGAAGAGTAAATGATGCCTACATGTGTTGACTCAGCAAGGAAAACATTTAATAAGAAAAGTTGATCTACAGAAGAATACATATTTGAAAGCGATACAGACTGCCTGAGAGCCTCACTGCATTATATTCCATTATGTTTTCATTTTGTTTGGCGCTCACTCACTCAGACTTTCCTGAGGGGACGACCTGGGTCTGAAATTAAAACCCATCACGTGCCAAATTCAGGTAGATTTTCTGTTAGGCAAGTAAATCTCAGGGCTATCCACCACACTGGCAGGTAAATGTTTGTTATCAGGGGTGCCCACTGGCTCACCTGGTGGAGCAGTTGCCATTTTGCACTTGAGTTTCCATCTAATAAAGGCAACAAAGCCAAAAAATTATCTTTTGGGCAGTTGAACTGGGGAGCCAAGGGCAAAGCACTGGCTGGCGCATGTCATCAGCAGCTACGAGGAGCACATGCTGTTTTCCCATTTTCCTAAAATGTATTCACTTTTTAGTCTGTACTGCAACTTTAATTTTTTACTTATGCAACTAGTCTCCACTGTGTTTTGGCATCATCTACCTGCGCGATGCTCTGCTGCTTCTCTCCTGTTATTAGGCTCATTACAGATGAACTGCGCTGCACCTGGAAAGTGGGCGACAGCAGTCGGCAGCATTTAGCTTCAAATTTAGCTCTTGCCTTGACCCTAAGTTTGTATTCAACATAATACCTTATTATCACAATGAACCGTACTGAAACAAATGTTTATGTGACACAAAAGGCAAAATATTATTTTAATAGGTAAAATTCTACCAGTCCCCCTTGGCCGGTGAGACAGGGGACGACCCACAGACCCCTGCTTAATATGAGGCCCCTCCAGTGTTGAAACTAAACTTGCATCCTTGGTAGTAGCCGAGGCTATGTTCTTTTGATGCACCATTTTTTTTCAACCTACCCTGACCTCATACCGATCACCACATGACATCACTTAAACATTTTTTTTTCTTCTGGGCCCTTATGTCTCCACCTGTTTTCATCACAAAGTGATACCCTTGTGTAGATGCTGAGATATTTTCCTGTTTATATTTCTACAACATTTTTAGATATTTAATTCTTGTGGTCACTGTTGGAGCTGTTTGTGTGTTGAAAAGCAGACATTCTTTTATAAACTAGCCAAAGAGATCAACTCTTCCTTCCTCACGAGTCTGATTTGTCTGTTCTGCTCAGGTCTGTGCTGACTGTGGCCTGCGAGCAGACTGAGGTCCTGCTGTTTGATCCCATCTCATCCAGACACATCAAAACCCTGACGGAGGCCCACGAGGACTGCGTCAACAACATAAGGTGCCGTTTTTCTAATTTAAATCATCCAGAGAAGGTTTTTAAAGCACACAGCATCCTGCATCTCAAACTGAAGACAGGAAACAAGAGAGCTCAAAGCAGTGACACATAAAAGGCTTCAGAGCAGCAACATGATGCTTACATCATCGTCAGATGAAGCTCCTGATCAGGATATTATGAAGAGACCAGTAAAAAGTAGCTGCTGTCTTGATTCATGTCTGCAGAGAATGCTGGATTAAGTTTTTCCCCTGACTGTCTGTCTCCTGCAGGTTTTTGGACAATCGTTTGTTTGCCACCTGCTCTGACGACACCACCATTGCATTATGGGATCTCCGTAAGCTGAATTCAAAGGTGTGCTCATTGCACGGCCACGCCAGCTGGGTGAAGAACATCGAGTACGACACCAACACTCGGCTCCTTGTCACATCTGGCTTCGACGGAAACGTCATCACGTGGGACACTAACAGGTGTGTGTGTGTGTGTGTGTGTGTGTGTGTGTGAGAGAGAGAGAGAGAGAGAGAGAAACGCCCATATACAACGCTTTGTTTACTCCCACAGTCCAAAGACATGCAGGTTAATTGGTGACTCTAAATTGTCCGTAGGTGTGAATGTGAGTGTGAATGGTTGTCTGTCTCTATGTGTCAGCCCTGTGATAGTCTGGTGACCTGTTCTGGGTTGGCTTGTCTCTCAAAATATAATATATTATTCAGATGATATTGGTGACTTGAGCATGATGAAGCACCTCATGATGGCATAAACAGACAGTAAACAAGCAAACAAACAGTTACTGTACACCAAATATTTCCTGTAAGGTAGCAGACGTGGGCACAGCAAAGCATGAAGTCAGAGGTGAGGGCT